CAATCAGGCTTTTCCTCGTTTTGAATATGAGGATCAAATAGCCATAGAGTATTCAGGTGATGAAGAAGATGATGGTCGTGAGTTATTGAACAACTTTCAAATAAAGATGTTGTCGAGCAGGAGATAATGATAAATGGAAGTGAACTAGCATGTTCATTGCATTTATGAAGTGTTTGTAGAGATCACACAAAAATAGTTATTGAGCTGGTGGTACTACCATGAAGTGGGTCTTAAGGGTACATTGAACATCATCCTCAACTTTTTAGGGTTAATTGGTTAGACTTTACTTGTAAGTGAAAGATGTCTAGTATCAATCCAAATGGATGATTATGTTGACGAGATATTTTTGGATGTTCAGCCCATGAATTTTTTAAAAATGGGAAAAGTCTCATGTTGTCACTCTTGATGAGCTGCCTAATTAATTACTTTTCATAAGAGACATCCAACATGCTATTAGTCTTGTCCCTAAACTCTAACTTTCTGATCTTCCATATTATATGATGAACGCAAAGGTGTGTTTCGTTAAATAGACAACTGGAAGAACTTTTACTAAAGGGAATTGTTGGACATAACCTTACTCCTTGCTTTATTCCTGTGCTTTTAAACCATAAAAGATTGGACTTGGAGAATGTGTGTGGGCTAGTGCCAGTAGTCAGATCACTATCAAATATCAATTTCCTGTTCCAGTTAGACATTTTGGCAAGTTTTAGTTTGTTTCCCAAAATAGATTTATGTAGCGGATACATCAAATTCTCATTAGACTAGGGTATGACTGGGACAGCCATTTAAGACTCAAATGGATTCTTTGAGTGGTTGATCATTTTGTTCTGGTTGGGCAACATTCATATTACTATGTCCTGTGATATGCATCATTACTAATTTAGATCATTGTATGCAATAATTCCTATCAAACATCTGGTAGTAAGCTGGGGATCCTAAGCTTTGCGTAGATGGGATCATCTTATTCTCTATATTGCTATTTGAAGCCATAGTTACTAACACCCAAAAAGAAAGCCTCACAAACAAAAAATTGTTTGCAAATCCTGCTGGAATAGAGCGCTTAGTTTTCAAAAGATTATTATATGAACTATACCATTCACTACCCAATCACCATAAAACCAGTTCAACCAAAAACCCTGGGAAGACACATTGTAGAGAACTACTCAAGTCAATTAGGAGCATGTTGGAGTCGATCACCAGAGCTAAGAACAAGTGGCATATAAGCTTTATGTGCCTGCAATCAATAGCACGTGAAAAGTAGGACACTTGTTAGACCATTGGCAAGGAGGTCCCCAGGAGCCGGAAAGATTGAATTTAGGTGGATGCACAGAAACTGATTTCTGTAAATGTTAACTAGCTTTATTCTCTCATAGAGTTCTGGAATGAAAGAGTGTTTGTCACCAGCACATTGTTTCTCTTTTTTTTAACCAACCATGCTATGATACAATGTTGGAGAAAAAAGCTTAATTTTACTATATATTATGAAACCGACTGTTTGCCACCTCTATATATTTATATAAATATTTACAGGGATCTCTCTGCCAAGAGAAGGAAATATATGGATTCCTATGTGAAGAAAAGGAAATAATTATGAAAGAAACACTTGGCTATATAAGTAAGACCTGCACTAGGAAATAATCATATAGGAAATATATTCTATATTGCAACAATCATGACTTGGAGAAAATGTTTCGTTGTGTAGAGAGTAATAAGTCTCAGAATGCATAATCTTGAGTTGTTGCTCATGACTCATCTTTTTTGTTTTGGTTGATTATGTAAAGGCAAAACAGTGTATATAGCTTGCATGTCAAACCTTATGGTTCATCTTACTGATGTTTCTTCTGCACTTGTATTTAACAGTCATGTGTCTCACCTTAACTCTTAACGAATGCTAAGAGTTAAAACAGTACTTGTGGAGACGAAGCGACAACTTTACACTAAAAATTATGTGTTGTTCATTTCCTTTGGTTCTGGAACAAGGTATTCCTTTTGTGTTTTATTTGTATTACCTGATTACTTTGATTTTTCCTGTTCAGTTCGCCATCATCAGGCTAATTCTCATGCAAAGAAAGGATGGGAGCAATTTACAGATGCTGTTATTAGAAGTGTTTCACAAAAGAAGGAAGGAGTTGTCTTCCTCCTTTGGGGAAATTTTGCTCAAGATAAATCAAGGTTTTTCCCTGATGTTGTTAGCTTTATTTTTTGTCAAGAAAATATTCACGATCAACCCTCATTGTCCTAAAACCGAGAGATTTCCCTACAACTGAAACATCTATCTTCTCCTCCCCCATCTTTCCCATAATTTCTTCCAAGAATTTGTACATTTCACTTTTGGTTATGCCATTGTATATGAATTGACATTTAAAAGAATCATGCAACTGCATTGTTACTGGAAATCTATGGGAAGGAGATGAGCAGATGCTTGACAAACCTATATATATTTGCCTCACAAGTACTTAAGCAGAAAGAAAGATGTGACAAGTTTTAGGTCAATTGAATAAGTTCTTTTATTAAATATTTAAGGATATTGGTTGCCTGCTATTCCACTGTTGAGCTTCCCTATAAAAGACAACTAGATTTTTGAATGCTAGGCAAATATCTAAAAAAAGGAAGATATTCCACTCCAACAACATAAGAAAAATTCAAAAATAAAAAATATTTTTTTAAAACTATCTTGGAACAAATTACTTACTGGGAAGACTCTTTGCAGGTTGATTGATGAAAGAAAACATCACATACTCAAAGCTGCGCATCCTTCTGGATTGTCTGCAAACAGAGGGTTTTTTGGCTGCAGGTTAGTTTGATTTCACGGGCACCCATTGCATTCACTACTCACGAACGAAGACATGTAGATACATGCATTGTCTAGAGATAAGGTTGAATGATTTACAAAGATATTCTCTTGAATTAAATATAATTACAAGAATATTCTTATTTTATTTTGCTACATTAAAAAAATGTCCTCTTTTTGCAATTTCTTAAGCTCTAGATTAAGAACTTTGATAGGTGTATCCACCATTTACTAATGTGACATTATCTAATATAATTATGAGATCAATAGTTTTTCTGAAGTTTAGTTAAAAGGTTACCAATTGAATGTTTAAATTTCTAATAAAAAATAAGAGAACGTTTTTTGAAGAAGAAAAAGTATATATTACTAAAGCACCAAGGGGATACCATCTTAATAAAAAAAAATGATGAAAATTTTCTATTAAAGAAATTTTTTGTCATTATCATTGTTATTAGTTTTAAAAGTTATTTACATTTTATAGGTTTATTTAGACATTATAATATTTTAGTTTCCTTTTAGTTAGCTTTTAAATATTATAGGGCTTGTAATCTTTTAAATTTCTTCTTTTATAATTCTCCATATTAGTTGTAGTTAATGCCTCCATAAAGGTTAATAGTTATCAACAAAAAGAATGGACAATGACGAATTAAGAAATTCCTTATTAGGGTTTTATTCCCTTTTATCTCTCTTTGTGTTCGTCTTTTTTTTTTAATACTCCTCTCTAATCTATCGGTTCAGTCTATTTCTTTCCATGTATCTCGTATTGATCTCTAATTTCTGTTTGTGTACCTTTATTCTTCAGTTTCTCACCTAAGTTTTCTCTATTTGAAATTCTTCTTAAATCACTAATGGCAGCTCAAGAAATATTGGCTTCTGCTCAAGTTGTTTTTGTTCATGCTGATGACGTTTAGCAATTTCCTCCTTTCAATAACCTTGTTCCACCTCATGCTACTATTGAAAGGTTTTCCTCCATGATGACACCATTTAACAGATTTATCGGGAATTTCATTTTGCCTCATTGATTTTATGATCCCGTGAAACATATTAGTTAACCTTCAATGTCTCTATGACGATTATGGAAAGCCTTGACTTTTTAAACATTTAAAGAGCATGTTTGAGTCTTTCTATCTTGATGTTTCACTACTTCAAAACTAGAGATCAATTTTTGCCAAGTTGGCTAGAATGATGCTTACCAAAATCTTAATTTGGAAAAAATGGCAAGCCAAAATAAGCGAGGTGCAAACATAACAATTTCACCACGAAGGAGCCTTTTAGCATCCAACTCTAATACCAGTTTATGATTACCATCAAAGGAGCATTAGAGTGGTTAAGATGCTGAAGGAGACTCATATTTATTAACCACCCAATTGTTGAGGTTTTTCAAAGGATTCATAACCCACACCCTTTCTAGAAGAATATGAGAAAAAGTCAATCACAGTTGCGTCTTTCCCTCTAGCAAGAGAGAACACACTGGTGAAGAAGGGCCTCATCACCACACTGAACATCATGCCAGAAGCTTAGCCTATGCGCCAATCCTCGTCTTGGTACAATCCAAGAATTCACTCCAGCCAGAACTAGTATTCTTCTACAGGCCTGAGGCATGTGGACCTCTAGACTGGATGGTTTTCTACTTCTCTTTTGAATCACAAAGTTGGCCCTAATCACCTTCTGAAAGGCTACCTTACATTCTGAATTTATGTTGAACTATAATATATTTATGTTGGTTCAAGTTTAATTTTTTATGTAATTTTGGCATGCTTATTTATTACAGAACTGCACATCTAATAACTAACTACTGGTATAATATAGCGGGCAGTCTGAAATTGGCAATGGATTTTGACAATTCATGATAATGTTTGGAGGAATTTGACATTGGTACATTATATTGTGATAGCATAACATTTTCCCATTTGTACTAATGTTCCATAGATTGTAGAGAAGAAATTGAAAATTGTTCATGTAGCTATATCTATTTATTTTAGTTGTTCCCATATTTTGACAGGCACTTTTCTCGCACAAACCAGCTTTTGGAGAAAATGGGAATCATCCCCATAGATTGGCAACTTTGAAATTGGAAGGACCCGTCTTTGGGATGTTGTAGTTGATTTTTGTGAATGGGAAAAGAGTTCTCTTCTTTAGATCTCCTAGGAAGGCAAGTCATTAAGCTTTCTTTTTGTAAACTCATCTTCAACTGGATAAAAAACAAGTGTCTCTGATAGATGCTCGAGTAGTACACGACTCAATTGGTCCTTACATATATATATCTATATATATATATATATATGTAGGGCAAAAGTGATTTTGTTTATGCTTTGCCATTTTAATGTGGCAGGCTCTTTTGGTTGGCAATGGAGATGGCTAGCAGAAATTCTTTGATAGTTGCATTATATATATATATATATATTCTGAAAATTCTTGCATTTTATCTTTTAATATGTCGTAATCAGTCAACGAAGAAAAAAGTCAAAATAACATTATGAAGAATTATAGGTACACATTAGTATTTTATTAAAAATATAATACAAATTTCATTATATAAATTATATTTGTGGGTTAAAATTTTTAATAATATTAATCAGTTTGCACTAAATGATATTTAGGATTATAAGTTCTAGTTGTATTAATTTGACATTTTTATACAAAAAATAAAATTTTTGAAAGAGAAATAGAAGAAAAGAAATAATGAATGTAGAACACTTTGTAATTAACCAAAGAGCTTATTTTTGTTCTCGTCCATATTTAAAAATCAGTTGTGAATTTTCTTTTATGTAATTTCGCTGCATACTATATATATATATATATATGTATGTATGTATAAGTTATATATGACTTATAGTTTAGGGGAGGAATTTAAAAATGATGGATTATCGATAGGTCATGTAAAAAACGCAAGGGCGTGGAGCATTTGGTATTTGCCTCCAAGCAACAAAATGGGGGGTGGTCCCGTCCCCATTCTAGACCAGAGCTGGCAAAACCAGTGGTTCTCTTTTGTTTCATCAACACCTCGTAACTCTGTAAACGAAATGATTGATGGTTGAGTTGAGTGCTATCCAAATTCCTCCTTCCTCGCTTCCGCTTGCAGATTCCATCAGGTTCTCTCTCTCTTTCTTTTTTCCAGTAGATTTTGAGTTTGCTTAAAATATTATATTAATGGAACTTGACCAGCTAGATATACACGTGTTCCTGGCAATTTTCAGAAAATTTTAAGTTTAATTATTTATATTAATATTGTTCCTGGTTATTACATAATCCACTGGCTCTTCACAATTTTCTTTTCTAACTAATTACAGGATATGACGAGCATTACCTCAAGCCACAATTATAATTCCTTAATCGGATTTCAGGAACATTTTTACAGGGAAAGCTTTTATAAGGTTCCATGTTCCAGATGTTTTCTTCCGTTTTCTCCTTCTGGAAGATTCTGTTTTCCTCATGGTCTACACCATTCTACTACTTACAGCCAAACTGTCATGAAAACTAGGCCTATATTCTCCAGTACTGTTGATGATGGTAATACCATTGATCCAGATAACTCCGACGATGCCACTATTGACAAAGGACAAAGCGAAAGTGGAGGGGTATGCGTGTCAATTTGTTTCATTTTTAATAATTCCGACTTAATTCAACAGCTGTGGAACATACGTATTGTATTGCAATTTCACTTTCTTGTTATGGGACTCATCACAATGTTCACTTTAACTATTAAGGGCTCTCACATGCCACTTTCACTCTAATAATCTCCCTGCAAAGACAAAACTCAACAACATATGTGAATTTTCTGATTTCCCATTTTATTTTTGAAGTAAAAATTACTCGAAGAAAAAGCCCGAGGGCCAATAAATACGGCTTTCTTGTCTTCTATTCTTGCGTATCATTAAAACTTCCTCACCTGCTTATACACCACTGTAGTGTGTATAGGTTGATATGTAATGACCATCTTTAATGTTCAAGCATTTTAGTACTTTCTTTTATTTGTCTCCTCGAAGTAGCATGTGTAGCATAAGTTACCTAATTTTGGGCTTTATCTTAATCGGTTTTCTTGGCATCCAGGTTTGAGTTTCAAAATACAGCTTTTTAATTAAATGGATAAATATTCCAAAAATTGAATGCTATATCCATCAATGGGGTGGATAAGCGAATTGACTTTACTGATTGGTAGAATTGGCAGCCTGCTTTAGTTTTTTATTTCTATCCTTGCTTTAAGAGCTTCTGTAAGTGAGACTGAATTTTTGTACTGTTCACGAGGTCCTACTTTCTCTCACAACTGGATAAGTTACTTTTTCTCTACTTGGTCTGCAACCAGAAGGTTCCAAGCCTCCTTTTTTCTCCTAATGCTTGAGATTTTCGAATTGACGTTATCGTGATGTGTGCAACTCTAGATTACATAATATAATTCTTGATTAACCTTATCCTCTTATTCTCAGATAAACAATGAAATGATCAGAGAAAATCTTGAAAGAATTGTGGGTAGAGATGATTCCACTTTCAGTGGTTTAGACCTTGCAACTCTGATAAGAAAAAAGTATGGGAGATCTTATGATGTTCAACTAATAAAGAAGGTATTCCTTTCTACTTGCAAAAACTTATAACTATTAGTGTTCATAATTGCTTTTCATCTCTCTGTCATTACTTAATTTCCCCACGGTTCACTACCTGAACTTACATCTAAAATAGTTGAATCAACTCAACTAATTAAAGTTGGATCCCGAACTAGTTGGGGTTAGTTAATCTACAATTTGTCTTTGCAAAGATACAGCTATATTCTTATGCTAACTGTTAAGGTGCTGCAAACTTTTCCTCTATCCGGGCTTGAGGTATAGCAGAGGCAGAGTTTATGTGGTCACTTCTCTGTCTTAAAGTTACATCTTTCTACTTACTAGTGCATTTAATGATACTCCTACATGCTAGTCTATTTTGCCTTCCCATAGAAAGAGGACTTTGGTTATTCTGTTGCCTACTCACTCCGAAATCATTTGTTTTACATTTTTTTCCTTCTTCCTCATCTTCCCGCAACTTCATGTTTTTGCTGTATTGTTGAAGTCCCAGAGGATATTTTGGATTGTTTTCAAAGTTCTACTTCTTGCCTTTTGCTAGTTAGCTAATTAGTAACTAGGATATAAGGAATAAAAAGAAGCAAGCGTATATTGGATTTTTTAATGTCATAATAGGTATAAAGATGTTCTAAAGTTGTTTACATGCATAGCATGGATGTTCCTTTTAGCTTGTTTTTATTGTTCAATCTGAAGTTTCCTCTCAAAGAAAAAAAATATCTTCCATTTGAAGTCATTAGTTGATAAATTATTTCATTCTGGTTCTTCGTCACCATCAAACTTTTTTTATTAACTGAAGCTCAATTTTCTGTTGTCTGCTTTAGCTTGCTTATATCCTGTTGGGCAGAGGTGAAAAATAATAATGCTATATAAAAAGTAAAATTTTCCGGAATTCGGGGCAAAATTATATAGATTTTCTAGATGTAGATAAATCTAATGACTCAGAGAAACATTTCTTTTGGGATAAAAAAGATGTATTTAAACAAGCACCCAAGGATTTACAAAAGGTAAGAAGTTAGAATATCTAACAGGTTCCCAAGGTCCTAACCTTGAGTAACCTGTTTCCCTATAAACAAAACACTCAGGGACTTGGACCTGCTATCTCTCAATCTATCAAAAGGAGAGTAAATGCTCTCAAGAACTCTTTTCTTCCTCTCTTCCCAACTGACCAAAAAAAAAAAAGAAAAAGAAATAAGAGTGCAGAGCATCCTCCTATGGATACAAACTCTGATCTCCTTTCGAGCCCAATTTCATCCACTGAGCCATCCAAAATAGATTGAGGAGACCACCCAAAACAATGTCCACCAAGGAAGATGTTTAGGTGGCTCCAATCTTTAAGCCACAAAGAACAGCAGTTGACAAAAATTCCTTCTTTATGAAGAATATGCATAGTAAGAATTCTACCTTAAACAACCGATTTGGGGAACGGGGGGGGGGGGAGGATGTGGCAGTTGGTGATTTTATGGATAGAGATTCCTATGGCAAACAGAAAAAATACTATTTGGAACTCTACCTTACACATTGGGGTGCCTAACACATAAAGGATCATCATAACACCACTATCCACCAAAAAAACACAATTTGTCTGCCAACATTGAAGTCAATATTCTTTATGAAACGAGTGCCAAAATCTGTTGATCCACCTCCACACGCTGGTCCCCAACATCTGCCTGTCGTTCCCAGTCCTTCAGCCTCGATCACAACCCCCATATTTAACCCGAATCACTTCTCTCCAATGCTGGCCTTAAAATAAGCCAGCATAAATCTCACATTTAACAAATGGCCTCTGTCAGACCTACAGAATAAGAGGGAATCATCGGCGAATAATAAGTGTGCTGGTCCTTGCAACTCACACCTTCCCCACACCTCCCCCCACTACCAAACCTTAAAACTAGTAATTATCTCTAGCCTTTAAAATCATCTAGTTAAAAGCTTCCATAACTAGAAGTAAAAAAAAAAAAAAAAAAAGCAAGGGCGATAACAGGTCACCCTTGTCTTAAGCCCCTGGAAGAGGAGAAGAAATTAGAAGGCCTTCCATTAATCAAGACAGCACACGTGCCTTGCATTCTGTAGGTCTTCCATCCCCAACCACCTAAAAAGTCATGAAAACATACGATACAGAAGATCATTATAGTCTGACCTCAAGATGTGGTGTGTCCTCTAACATTCTTTCTTAACAAGCAATCCATCTATATCAAGATGGGAAAGTTTCAGTGCATTCGTTAGATAGTTACCTCTTCATTTAGTACAGTCATCATTCTTCCATAGATGGAGATCTCTCTCTCCCCGCCCCCCCTCTCTCTCTCTCACCTGATTGCTTCAGGTATTGTTCTGGAACCTGGTGAATTTAATTCCCTGTGCATGGTTCAATACAGGAGTTCATGGGAAGAAGTCTTCTTGCACTGAATGTCATGTGGAAGTACATGGAGCAGGTAAGGGAATCTTGTGCTGTCAATTTGCACTGAGCATATGAAATTTCTGTGATATTATATAATTATGTTTTCAACTTCTGAACTCATAATAGTTTGGCTTGGATAAATGAACATTGAGTCCATTAATTGAGTTTTTCTTTTGGTAGGACATGCAGCTAAAATATGCTTTTTCATGGATGAAAAAATTTCCCCTCCATTTTTGTTGTCTTGTCTTTGTAAACAAAAGGATTTTATCCTGTTATTTTGAGAATATTTTCGCCTTTTTTTTTCTCTAAGGAAAGTAGAAGGCATATTTCAAATGATTTCTAAACTGGAAAGGTTAGAAAATAATTTTTGTTTTTGTGAATTGAACATTTTTTACTTGTTCCCAAAAAATGGAAAATTCTCTGGAAAAATAGGAAAGTTTCCTCTAAGTAAATAGCCCCTTGATATCCTGTGGCTCCTCTGCAGCTCCAAGCCATAATGATGCTTGAAAAGGTTGCTGCAAACCTGGTCTCCCTCAATCCCAGTTAGTGTGTGCTTGTGGGCTGTGTTGACTGAAGCTGTTCTCTACATAGCATACAACAAAAGCATTTTATTTTACCTTCCTTATATTCAAAAGTCTTATTTTCTTGATCTAGGTTCATTTAGCATGTGAATAAATTTTCTAGTTTTCATTTTCTAAATTCATGGGCTTACACATGATTAGTGGAAGTTGGTAAGAGTTGGTAAGAGTTGCACGTTTATAGAATGATACAAGTACCGAGAAAATAGTTTTCTAGAGAACACTGAATATATTTTCGTGATTTCTAACATCCATCAAATGTTCGTAAAGATCAAATAATATTCTCAATTTAGGGATCATTTCTAGATTCAAGCTATCTCCTTAGCTGTCATCATCTTTTATCTCTAAATTATGAAATAAAAAAAGTTGGTTCGTTATCTATTCAGCATAAGTTTTGTTATGCATGATTCCTTCCAATTATTCAATGAAGTTTTTAATCTAGGATTAGAAACAAGTGTCTCTCCGTTCCTATCCTTAATTCTTGGAATCAAGTTTTCTCTTTTTATTTCTTTGAAAATCACAGCCTGCATTTAGAAACTTGTCTAGCTACCTATTGTATGACAGGCATTACCAAGTTGGTGCTTTTTTCTCTGTCTTACTCCTGATTTCTTTCTCAGTCTGTTCTCTGTTTCTTCCTTTTTCTCCTCTTCTTTTCCTCTTATTTCTTCTCGGTATGTCTTCTCTCAGCTGTGTTCCTCTTTTGCTCTTTCATTCTTTTTCAGATACCTTTCTCAACAGTAATTTTGTTTGTCAACTTCTATAAACATAAAGTATATCTGGGATATTTGGAGCATATCTATGTGTTTTTTTTTTTTTTTGCCAAAGCCATTATTAAAGCATGTAATAATGAGTTTAGCTTTTTTTCTTTATCGTTTATTCAGAGGTCTTTTCCTCTTACGGAAGAAGAGTATATACTGAGGCTTGATGACGTGGCAAACACATTAAAATGTTGGGGAGCTGTATCACACATTCGTAACAGCCTAGAGAAGTCGAAAGAGCGGCCTCGGATTGGAAAGGTAAGATTACAAGCTAATCCTAGTTTTTCAAACAGCAGATCATTTCTGAGCTGCAACAAAAGACACAAGTTACAAACTTGTAAAATGACTAACGGAATTATAATTAACAAAAAAGTATATAAATGTGCCCGTTCTTTTCTTCCTGTACTTCCAAATTTCTTGTAGGTGGAACATCTTTTCCCTACTACCTCTTTTTTCCTTTTGAAGGGACAAATTGCTTGGTCTGATTGGAAGGAGTTTGTACTCCTAACAATCACTAGTATTTAGAAATATATGCTTAATTTAACCATGATATGATGGAAATTTAACTCATAGGATTTTCAAGGGAAATTGGAATAATACATTTCAAATCCAAATTAATTCAATGGAAATAGTTTATTTGTTTGAAACATGCCCTAAGC